CTCCAGTACCTCCAGTACCTCAAGCTTCAGCACCTCCAGCACCTCCATCTCCAGCACCTCCTACACCAGCAGCTGCAGCACCTCCAGCACCAGCAGCTCCAGTACCTCCAGTACCTCCAGCTCCAGCACCTCCAGCACCAGCACCTCCAGCACCTCCAGCACCTGTACTCCAAGCACCAGGACCAGAGCGGCCTCGCCGAACAACCCAGTCGCGAAGCTGCTCCAGCGAGAGGGTCTCCTGTCAATGAGACTGCTGCTGCTGTCCAACGCCAGAACCTCCAGTAGGAGCACCCACAACCCCACCACCAGTAGGACTCACAACATCCCCAAAACCGGCACCCCCAGACTCAGCACCCCTAGAGTCAGCAACCCCAGGACCAGCACCTCCAGAGTCCGCACCCCCAGTGTCACCACCCCCAGCAGCACCAGAGTCCACAGCGACAGGCTGCGGAGGTGGCGGAAAACCAGGAGGGGTCTCCAAGCGCGGGGAGCGGCGAGTGGCCGCCGTGTCGTCAACAGCGGGGCCACCGCCCTCAGCTGGGCCATAGGTGTAAGAGGAGACCTTCAAAGGCTCAACCAAGGGGGGTGGGTCGACCTGAGACACACCTGAGGGAGCAGGACCCTGTGGGGGGAGGGGGTCTACCGGGGGGGGGATCTGGGACCAGGAAGAGGGGCGGCGGGGGGACTGGGGAAGACGCGTGCGGGTGGAGACGGTAGAAGCAGACCGACTCGTCAAAGGTGACGTCCTGTGAGGACAGGACTCGATGCGAGGCAGGGTGGTAAAACTGCCAGGGCAGGGCGTCGGTGGGGAAGCCAAGGAAGACGCAGCGGAGAGTGCGAGAAGAGAGCTTGCCCGCGGTGGTGTCGCGGACAAGGGAGAGAGCGCCCCAGACCCGAAACGCCGACGCATCGCCAACCTCCCCAATCCAACGCAGTGTAGGCGAGGTCTCTGGCACAAAGACACGGGGCTAGAGGTTGAGCTGATGCGCGGCGTATCGGACCGCAAACGGCCACATAAAATGGGGAGGAGCCGCATGGATTATGGAGGTGCGAGCAGCCTCCATGATCAAGCCAATGCGACGCTCAGCAATCCCATTCTGCTGTGGAGAGGCCAGAAGCGTGAATGACTGGGCGATACCCTCTGCACGACAAAAGTCCTCAAGGATGCGGGAGGAAAACTCACCGCCTCTGTCAGAGTGCATTCGCAGGGCCTGAAGGTCCTGCTAAAACCGCGCGCTCTGCTGAGGTCCCCTCGTGGCACCACCTCAGCAGAGTCAGCCGGAGACCCCCTCGTCCCCCTCGTCGCTGCTGACCACAACCTCAGCAGGGCCTAAACCACAACCTCAGCAGGGCCCTGCCGTCGCTCAGCTGGCGACGAACAGCAGTGATCTAGGGGATCAAAACATTGCGGACATCCGCCTTGCTCCGCAAGGGGACGACCTTAGTGTAGCGCGTGTAGTTGTCAACAACCAGCAGAAAGTAGCGCTCCTGATCCTGTCCACGGACGCGGGCGGGGCCCCACACGTCCATGTGGAGAGTCTGGAGAGGAGCAGTGGTCGGAGGAACCGAGGAGGAGTGAGGAGCGGTGCGCTGCCGCCCCTCGACGCAGGGAAGGCACGGCGGTGCAAGCGAGCGCGGGAGCGGGGGCAGAGACCTGGGGAGGCCAGAGACAAGGAGACGAGAGTGCATGCCACGTAGGCGCGGCAGGGAGGGGTGACCAAGACGGTGGTGCCATAGGAGAGTCTGGTGCGTAAGTAGCCGACACGAACAAGACGCAGCTAACTGACCTGACGCAGCCATCTGACCTGACGCAGCCACCTGTGCAGACTCAGTGGTCAGTGTTTACAGTCCCAACCCAGGTCTCCGAGTGAACGTAGCGAGGTGGCGGCCTGTCCGTGAGCACGTACAGATCGCCACACGCTCACCTCCAGGAGTAAAGGTACTGACCAACTCGTCCTGGAGGACAGAGTTATTCACCAAGTTCGTAGAGAACGAGGGGAGGTGGGAGAGAGCCGGAGGGGACCGCCGGACAAGGGAGGATGGTGGAGGCTCGTGCAATGACTGGGCCCCCAGAGGGGTCAACCACAGCGGCTGGGACAGGTGCTATGAGCGGTGTGACTGAGGTGCAATCACGAAAGAAGCAGCGAGACACGCCCGAGTCAAGTGTGAAGGTGTGCAAGGCCTCAGCAGAAGCAGTATCTGCGGCAACAGACTCACAAGCACCTAGAGCAATAGCCTTTACACCAGCAGCGCGCAACACATACGAGTAACACTCACCCTCAACACTAACAGAACCAATATACATAGCATAGAGTCCAGCATTGATCTTGGCAAAGTCAAGAGCAAACACATCCACTCCCTTCCCTAGCAATCCCAACCAGTTGGGGATCTCCTGATCATCTCCGTACTCGGTGCGCCACGCATCCTCGAGACGGCAGAAGCAACGGTACTTAGTGTGCCCAGTCTTCCCGCAGGGCTCGCCAATCCTGGGACCCGAGAGCCTGATGTACAGGCAACGAACACTACCCCCAGATGAGCCACGTTGGACAACCCACTCACAAAGCTCCTGAGGGGTGCGTGGCTCCTGTTGGCGTGGCTGCTGCTGCTGTCCACCCCTAGTGCCTCCGCCACCATGAGCTGCACCCCCAGTCGCCGCCTCGTAGCCTCCGCCCTTGCCAGCTCCACCCCGACTGCCACCCGAGCCCCCTCCGCCCACTCCACCGCCTCCACCACCCCCGCCACCTCCACTGCCGCCCCCACCCCCTCCGCCCCCACCACCACCACCGCCACCACCCCCGCCACCACCCCCGCCAGTGCCACCCCTACCACCCTTGCCCTTGCCGCTGCGGCGCCTCCCACTAGGAGCAGACGCAACACCGACCTCCTCGGTACGAAGGAAGTCAACAGCAGCAGCAGTAGCAACAGAGGGCGCGAGAAGGGAGGGAGAACACCCCTCAAAGAGGGGGGAGCGGGGAGTGCTACAGCGACAGTGTTGGTCTCGGCCTCGAGGAGATGCTACTCCAGCAAGGCAAGCGTGATCTCAGTGGGGTCAAGAGCGAGGAAGTGATCCCTAACGGCGCGGAGGGAGTCAGGGAGGCGAGTAACGAGGTAGTATAGAGTGATGTACATCGGGGGCTGGTTCGCAGTAAGAAAGGCCGGCTTAAGAGCGGCGCGGTAGCGAGCGTCACTAGAGCGAAGGTGGGTCACGAGGTCAGCGACAGTGTGGAAATCCGACAGCTCAGGAAAGCGGTACGGCAACATGATACGGCCTAGGGCAGCAATAGAGGGGGAGGAGGAGTAGCGAGCGACTACGGCGTCATAGAGTTCCTTCGCCGTCTTAAGCTGGCCAAAATGGACCCGTTCTTCAAGCGGGAGGGCATTGCGGACAGAAAGGCGGGCAGCAGCGTCGCGCGTGAGCCACTAAGTACGATGAACACGCTCAGCTGACTCCTCGGGGGCAAGGCAAGAACCTTGCATGTGCTCTAACAGTTAAACGTCCTCCCTAGCCATGCTCTGCAGGTACAGCTGGAGATCCTCGAGCCAGCAGTCAAACTTAATCGGGCGACCCTCCGCATCAAAGGTAAGGACATTAAGGGTAGCCATAGTGGGCAGTAGCAGTAGCAGTAGCAGCAGCAGTAGCAGCAGCAGCAGCAGCAGCAGCAGGCAGCGTGCGGGCAGCGGGCGCAGCGTGCAGGCAGGGTGCGCGGCAGCGCGCGTGCAGGCAGCGAGCAGGGCGCGAGCAGGGCAGCGTGCGTTTCACGCGCTGGGCAGCAAGCGGGCAGCGCGTAGGGCAGGGCAGAGCGCGTGGGGTAGCGCAGGCAGGGCAACGTGAGGGACGCTGTTCGGGCAGGGCAGGTCGGGCAGTTCGGGCAGTTCGAAGCTAGCGGTGGGCCCTAACGGAGCGGTCCTACGGATTGACCTTCTCTGAATACCATGTCAGAAATAATGTGCAGGAATGAATGACTAGAAGCATGAGATGAGTACAAGTACTAGGTCTAACCCTAAAATGTTATACTCAGTAGAGGCTACCCCACTACAGCCTACAGATATACAAACACAGCTTGACAGGGAATACGAAACGACCTAGCTAGCCATGAACTCTAAGGGGTACATTCCCTTATTACACGAAATCCAACCGTGCGACTCCAGACGGTTACGAAATGTTCCAGCAAAATGCTCGCCACTGCTGCTGCCTGATGCTGTCATCCCTGAAGGTCCAGATGCTTCGTAACCGTACGCGACTCTTCGCGTCATTCCGCCTCTTCGTCTTCGTACTCCTTACTGTGTGACTCGCTTGCTACTGCCAGGAGTGCACAGTGCCTTTTCACCATTTACTATTCGTAACACACCTCAGCCTCATTACTTCAAACGTCAGGCCTCATATTTACCCTTGGCAATTTTGACCTTGCTTGGAATGCAAACCTTTGTACCCTTGATCAGTTTGTCGATGCAGTCGTAACCGTTAATGTGCCTGTAGCAGCCTTTCACACCTCGGAAAAACTTGACCTGTACTCCAGTGCAGCGATCGCCAGTGCCGATTGTAATTGCAGTGGCGCGGGGACATGTCCCCTGGAGAAGACTGTCCGTGCTCCCAACACACGCCTGCAAAGCACATGTAGCGCACCGAGCAAAGAGAGATGCGGAGGAGAGTAAGAATTTACCATCACCATCACCATCACTCAAGCATGTCCTTGCTACGAGACTACCCGTGCTCCCAACGCAAGCCTGCAGCATGTGGTACACCCGCCGGAGGTGATTTTGGAGCCGACTAGAAAATCACCTCCATAGTAGCATCAAGTAAAAGATTTGCAAAATCACGCAAAGAAAACCAAACCAGAGTATTGCCTGCAATGCCCAACTCACCTCACGCATTGAGGAGATTTTTGAGGCGCCTCGAAAGTCCCCTGCAATGCTCAAATCACCTTGCCTCGCCCGAAGCAATGCTGAGAAGCGGCAACCCCCGAGCTCACCTCGAAGCCGGTGAAGCTGCCAACATCCGTCTAAGGCACGAGGCGGCTGCACTTGATGCCGGGGTTGAGGCGGTAAAAGTCAACACGGGAGAGAGGCGGGTCGGGCACGTTGCGGATGGACTCGCACGTCTCGGCGCTCTCCACGAAGTAATACTGCGAGCACAGCGCCACCAGGCCTGCCATCTCCGCCCGCCGCTCCACACACACCGCCTGGTTGGGTGGAAGCTCGCTGCTGGTGGTGCCGCAGTCCACCCCCGGGTTGAGCACCTGGAAGGCTGCCGTGCACTCGGGGGATGGACAGGTGCTGGCGAGAGAGAAGTAGGTCGCCAGGGTCTCACATGTGTCGCCCTGGCGGGCGTGGGGGCACGAGGCAGGAGGGGGCAGGTGGCGGGAGTGGGCAGGGAGGGGGCAGGGAGGGGGCAGGGAGGGAGAGACACACAAAGAACAGATAGGACTTTGCTGGCTTGCGCGGCGGGTTGAGTAGATGGTGCAGGGTGGGATGGCGGTGGGTGCAGAGACAACATGCACCGGACTCACACGTTGCACCGGAATCACACGTTGCACCAGAATCACATTTGCACCGGGTTCACAAGCAGCTTCTGTTTGCTCATTCTGTGAGGTGCAAAAAGTACCACTCACCAACCACAACCCACCACCCATGACCCACCACCCACCCACCTACAACCTACCACCGACCACCTACCACCTCCCACAATCCACTCTTATACCAACTACCTACCCCCTACCACCCACCTTCTATCTGCCACTTGCCATGCCACCTACCTGCTCAGTGGTGTAGTAGACAGAGCAGGGGGTGATGGTGGTGGGTGGGGCGACTCGGAGCACCGAGTTGACGGCCAGAGCAGAGTCACAAGCGATGGCCTGGTGGCAGGGCGGCACGCATGTGAGTGAGATGGCGGTGATTGGGTTGGGTTGGGTGAGAGCGAGGTGACTGGGTTTGGAGGAGGAAATCAGATGAGAGGGAGGAAACAGGGTGTGGAACAAAAGGAGCAACACGAGAGGTCTGCAGTCGTGAACACCACACATGCAATGAATGCAAGCACACAAGCGCACTCGGCTCTGCACTCTGCAGCACGAGTTGCTCAGTGAGAGAATAAAAAGACCACATTTTGAGCCACCTCAAAACTCCTCTGCCGCACAAGCTGCTCCAGGTCCGGGAGAGAATGGAAACACCAGGTCCTGCTCCAGTGGAGGAGGGAAAGCTTTCGAGGATTCTGAAAACTCTCTTGCAAGTACACAACAAAAGCGCACCGGGTTCTGTTGCTTGAGTTGCTCCAGGGAGAGGCCGTAGATGGGAAAGACGTCTGAGCACTTGACATTGGGTGAGACGACGGTGTAGGTGCCGTTGGTGCTGCCGGGCGCACAGGAGAAGGTGCCATCGACGGTGGTGCCCTGCCTGAAGCCCGGTGGACACACACACGAGTACGACCCCGCCCCGTCATTCACACACGTGCCCACCGCACACGGGTTGCGGATTTGCGCTGCACAGGCATTTACTGGACGAGGAGAGGGAGAGCACGAACGAGTGTGCACGAGGGATAGGGGGATTAAGATAAATAAGGGGACCAAAAGGGACAGGGAAACAGGAGGGAAACGGAGGTGGGAGTGTGTTGTTGTGTGCAAAAGGCATGAACGCATGGGCAAAGAGGGAGGGTGGAAAAAAATGCAGCAATGTGGACGTGTGGGAGAGAAACACAGAAACAGATGCCCATCAGCAATCCCCATGCGCTCAGTCTAGACTACCATATCTGCAGGTGTGGAGAAAGAGGCATGCGTACCATAGGCACAGGTGCGCGAGCCATCGGTGTTGGTGGCCTCAATGAATCGGCCGTCAGATGCGGTGTTGCAGTCACAGCGGTTGGACCTGCGGTCAGCAGTGACCGTGCATGTGAAGTTGCCACACGGGTTCAGCACCGCACCAATCGGATCCCGGTGCGCCCCGCTGTTGCACGGGTCTCGCTTGTCTGTTAGGGTGGAGCGGTGTGGAGCAGGGTTAGGTGAGACGGGGTGGAAATGGATGGGATAAGGAGGTGTGGGGTGTGATGGGGAGGAGTTTTATGGAGAAAAGAGGATGTGTGGTTTACTGGAGAAGATATGAATGCACGCATTTACAATGTGAAGTGGACGGTTGTGCTTTCTCTCACCTGTAAAGACCTTCATCACTGTTCTGCCATCATAAAGTTTTGAGGCGCCTCAAAACCAGACCTTCATAAGCTTCACTGCCATCATTCTGTACTGAATGGTACCGCCATGCGTTGTGGTACTTAGGTTTTACTTTCATTTACTTTCATCCTTTGGATCATGCTCGCAACAAATGCATGACAGCAAATTTCCGAGACAAAACCTCAACTCACTTACATGACATAAAGACAGCAACAGCAGCAGCAGCATACCAATAATGATGGGGTAAACCCCCGGCAGAGTGTTGATGCCGCACACGCCATCCCCCCCCTGGATGTCCATGCGCATGTGGCCGCCATCGCCCCAGTCAGGCCCCCATGAGTTGCGGATGATCCAGAAGGGCGGCGCCATGTGGGGGAAGGCTTCATCTGACCCCACCAGGCGGTACCCCACCAGCAGCACCACGTGGTTCAGGTTGTACGTGAAGCACGCTGGGTCCTGGTACTTGTGTAGCTGCTCGGGAGTGGGAATGCGTGTTGTGAGTGTGAAGCGGGTGAAAGAGATTCAAACCAGCTTGGTGGGATGATTGTTTGGGACGGGCCACCAATTAGGGAGCCGGATTTGCGAGCATCATAAGTTGGGCCAAAGTTTTCGAAATTTGTGGGGGAATGATGCAAGCTGGTTCGTTGACAAATGCAATGACCTGCCCAATAGGTATTCGCAGACCCAAGCCATTAGGTAACTGCGAGATTCCTCCGTTCCAGTATTCCAAGTGGATTAAAGATTGATAGGGAGTTGCCATAATTGCCTTGCACCCATCTCCTCTTCCTCCAATAAGATCTACTAACCCACATACAAAACCTCGGGTCGGGTTGACCCGCCCAGCCTCAGGTCTCGCCCATCCTGTTCGTACCCAGCTCGAGTCATGTAAACCTGGGTCGGGCTGGGTCGAGCCAGATAGACCCGTTTCTCATGCCTACCTTGCACTGGCTTGTCAGAGAACCCGCCCGTCACATCACAGTCGACAATAGCATCAGTAGATGCGAAACTATCGTGCAGCTCATCCATCCACCTGCCCTCCCTCCCACCCACCCACCTGCCCTCCCTCCCACCCATCCACCTGCCCTCCCTCCCACCCACCCACCTGCCCTCCCTCCCACCCACCCACCTGCCCTCCCTCCCACCCACCCACCTGGCCCCTCCCTCTCACCCACCCACCCACCCACCCACCCACCTGCCCCCTCCCTCTCACCCACCCACCCACCTGCCCTCCCTCCCACCCACCCCACCACTATCCACCTGGACAGCACGGTAGGCACGAGTAGATAAAAGTAAGAACCAGAATACACCCTCCCACCAAGCCACCTACCCACGCACGCACGTGGCACATGTAGCACAACTTAGCTTGGGTGCACATGTAGCACAACTTAGTTTTAGCCTAGTTGGTGTTAGGATTTCAACCTTGGCCCCCTCATTTCCACTTTATTTGTAAGTACCATTTTACTTTTGCAGCTTACTTAAATACATGGTTGTGGTTTTCGTGAGTTGGGTTGGGAGTTTCACCAATTCCCGAACCCTCTACAACTCACCCCATCGTAGTTGAGAAAGGATTTGGCAGACGCCTCTATGTGCACCACCACGGGCTGCCGCTGCACCGCCAGCACCAGGCCGAACCAGCTGTAGAATGCCGCCCGCTCAAAGCCCCTGATGCTGTAGCCCGGGCGCACCTGCTGCTGCATGCGTCATGCCAGCCCGGGTTAGACGCAACATGAGAATGAAGAAGAATGAATGCCAGAGCCTGATACCCGTGTCATCAGCATTGGAATCAGGAGTTGACGGACGGGAACAATGAGAACAATGGGAACAATGAGTAGTACGGGAATCCTGGCAGACAGGAACTAGATCCGGGAGAATGGCAGCCACTCAGCCTTCTTGCTTTGTCTGCTTCAGTCCCCGGAGCAAAGAACCACCATACAACAATGATCGTTCAACTCTTTTCACCGTCAAAACACTGCACTGCACTTCACTGAACTGCACTGCACTGCACTGCACTGCATTGCACTCACCGTTTTCTCCTTGGTCGTGCACTTCACTCCCAACAGCGCCGCTATCGGTTTCAGCAGCGGCGAGCACAGTGGACTCTGAATCTGACCCGCCGCTGCTGCCACTGCTGTGGATGCTGTCGGTGCCCCCTGTTTCCCCTGCAATCCCAACGCACCGCTTCTTTCTGCCACACCCACACCCCCTACACCCCTCCCTCCAGCCTTCTCTACTCCCCTCCCTGCTCCCGTTGCTCCTCCCACCCGACCGACCTGCAGCCCCCCGCCGCGCTTGCCAATAGCAAGCAGGTACTGGAAGGCCTTGGAGGGCGACCCTCCGGAACAATCCGCCTTCATGTCGGCAACGAGAGAGGAGACGGAGAAGACAGGCAGCGAGCCGTTGGGTGAGAGGATAGCGTAGGCGGCTTCTATGCTGGCGACGACAGCGTAAGCCCAGCAGTCGCCACACCCCGCCTGGTTGGGCACCGGCCAGCTGGGCAGTAGGTCTGAGCGAATCCATGTCATGTTGGTCGCCACTGCCCACTGCTGCTCCTCCTCTGCACTTGCGCCTGCTTCTGCTGCGCCTGCTTCTGCTGCCCCTGCTGGTGCTGCTGGTGCTGGGGGTTGCAGCGCGCCGGCACTGGCGTAGCGGAAGAAGCGGTTGACTCCCGTGGTGGTGAACGTGGCCTCTGCTAGCGTGAAGCCCAGCGGCAGGGCTGTGGCACAGGAAGGAGGGTGAAGGGAACGTTATCAGGGGAGTGAGAGAGATGGGAGGGAGATGGGGGAGGTACGGAGAGAAACAAGGAAGCAAGAAACGAGCGAATAGTGAGGTGAAGGGTAGATGATGATGATGGTGTGGAGTGCATGGGAGGCAGCCATTCGTAATGACGCCCGTGGCAACAGTCTCATAGTGGTTACAAGTGAGAAATGACATGCCCTCGAGCACACATATGGCAGGTACTCGCACGATGCGTTGCGAACACTTCAAAGCTGCAACATGCCGTGCCCTACCCCTACCTGTTGTAGTGTCCTGGGTTGGGAAATCTGCAAGAGATAGAGAACGTGCAGAGAGGGAAGAGACAAGAAAGACTGAGCTCAAGTGCTTTCCATTCCAGTGGAACCAAGCAAGAAAGGGCCAGCACAATATAGGCATCAGGGGAGAAGCAGCAACGTGGGAGGAGAAGAGATCTGGCAACTAGAACCAGCTGCCTGTTCCGCAGCAAAGCGATCTGCGAGCACACAGTCCTGCCAACCAGCATCCCCACTGATTTTGAAGGGGGTCTGAATGGTTGCCCACCAAGGGCCTGTAAGTACCTGTATCCAGCGACCACTGCAGCACCGTGTGCTCCTGGGGGGGGTCAGACGAGGCGGCAGTGAAGCCAACCACAAACGTGGCCTCCTCAAACGTGGGCTTCAGCACGTCACACAGTGACACACTGCGCTTGAGAATGGGCTTGGCCGGGCGAGTGGCCGCACTGGCCACATACACCGCCAGCAGCCCGCCTTTCACCGGAGAGTAGTCGATCCATGCATACTTGGTGCTGCCTGTGTTCAGCCCTGGCACGGCCGCCGTGGATATAGATATCACAGAGCCACCGATGTTGATACCCACGTGGCTGTTGCTCGGGTCCCCACTGCTCGCATCCTGGAACGTATCAAACTCCACCGCAAGACTCCGCTCATCCATGCCTGCATACCCCACCGTGCTGCCATCCCCACCAGGAACGGAGTCCGTTGCTGTGAGGACAAACGCGAGGCCGCCCTTCCCGACGCCATTGCTGTGGTGGCCGGGGCGATGGAGAAGGAGAAGGAGAGGCTGAAGGCGATCTCGCGGCCGCACGAGTGGTTCTTGACAGCGTAGGAGAAGAGGCGCACACGCGACACCAGGAACGCCGCTCCCCACGCCGCCTGCTGGTTGCTCGTCAGCACCACACTGCTGTCCGCCTGCACCGCTGCCGCTCCACTCACCGCCATCTCCGCACCGCCACCGTCGCCAGAAGAAACGCTAATTGACGTCAGAAGGGAGAAGTCCGCAGGAGTCACACCAGCAGCAGCAGCTGCCACGCACGTCCCTGGGAGCTCCCCGTCGGCATACCCGGTGAGGCAGGCGCACGTGGGGATCCTGTTGGGCCCTGAGAAGAAGCATGTGCCGTGCCCGGCACAGGAAGGCGTGTTGACTGAGAGGCCGCAGAAGGAAGCACAGACCTCCTTCACTCGCTGCGGGTCCATAGGGCACGGAGGCACGTCGGCGGCGCCCAGGCAGTTGGCTTGTACGGCTATGAAGGTCTGGGTGCAGTTGGGCGGAGTGGAGAAGCCGCAGGAGAAGAAGTTGTTGTCTAGCTTATACTGGCGGATGGACGGGGGAATGGGCTGCAGCAAACAGCCGCCCAGCTGGTTGTTGCGCAGGTTTCTGCACCGGGGGGAGGGGGGAAAGGGGGGGGAGTAGGATGAAAGAGGGTGAAGGAAGGGAAGAGAGAAGACAATGAGAAAAGACAGAAGTTGTGAGGAAACAACAAGTGAAAAGCTGATGAATGGACGTGCAGTGCTACTTGGCAACGTGCCCCATCTGCCACGTCATCAAATCATCACATAGCAAGTTGGGCTTCTGCAATCGCTTGAGCAACCCCAACGACCATGATAACAAGTGACGATGGATATCGTCACTTGCCTGCCAGCTGGCGCAAGTGACGACCAAACTGAGCGATCTAATCAGACGATGGAGCAACTGATTTGCACCAAACCCGCAAAAAAGGAAAGACTTGATTGAGTCCGCTTAGAAAAAACAGTGTTCCGTCACAAGTACTTATTTGTTGATTTTGGACACTTTCTGTTATCACTCCTAAAGTTTTGCGTCCTACAATGCACATGGATGCGAGTACTAGCATGACTCTATAACACATAAACACAAACACACACACACACACACACACTCACAGGACTGTGAGTTGAGTGAGACCGGTCATGCCCTGTGGCAAACTCCCGCTCAAGCGATTGTTGCTCAGGTCACTGACACAAATGCAAAGAGAGGAAACATAAGCACGAGGAGGAAAAGGCACAAAATAACATTCAACATTACTAATGGGTGGGTACAAACCGGTTGATTGATTAGCTGAGCAACTCGTACGTAGGATGAGGAAGAGGGGGTGGGAAGAAGAAAGAGAGATGGTTAGGTAGCAACAAACATTGGTTGGTGGATGCAAACAGATGAGAAGAGATTAGTAAGCACTGCATCGCACAACTCTTTGGACAAAAGAGGCGCACAGTACGAGTACTTGCAGCACAGTGAGATACGTGAGGTCGGATATTTTATCGGGGATGGTTCCATCAAGGTAGTTGGAGCTAAGGTCACTGCATTGGGAAGGGAAATACAAATGGCAAGGTTTGATTGCGAGGCAAGCTTGACATGGGAGTCGAATCACGAAACGAGGGAGATTAGCACAAGGATGCGCACCAACAACCCTTAGGACAGACAGACATGGTGCTCAGAACTTACAGAAGATGAAGAAACGTGCGTGTGAATAATTCTTCGGGGATGGTTCCATCAAGGTAGTTGGAGCTAAGGTCACTGCATTGGGAAGTGCGTGCAGATGGCGAGCTTTGATTGGCAGGCAAGGTTGGGGAGGAGACTGTATGTGGGTGCGTGTGTACATACATGTGAATTGCGAACTGGTGGAAGCAATCAGATGAGGCTCAGGAGACAAGTGTCATGCTTCTCTCGCACGGTGGCTTCCAACAGGAGCAGCACAGCAGCTAGAACGTACGACAGTGGGCTGCGAGGTTATATACTGGAATATATTTCAAGGAGCTGGACGAATGACGACAAGAGGGAGATAAGCACAAGGGTGCACAACCCTTAGAACAGATGCGGTGAGACTTACAGCACTCCGAGTTGCTGGAGGGTGGTTATATCTTGGGGGATGGTTCCGGTGAGCTGGTTGGAGCTCATATCACTGCATTGGGAAGTACAGATTGCATGTGCTGATTGGTAGAGACCATAAGTGAGGAGTTAACTCAAGGTGCGTGCATTCAACTTAAGTCAGTGAGTGGAGTCAATCAGATGAGGTATATTAACCTTTTCTTACATCGAATAGATATACGTCATCTGTACAACCTTCTGAAGCGAGTCCCCATCAAGGTAGTTGGAGCGAAGGTTACTGCCACGGGGAGTACAGAAGTCAGGCATGCAAGTTGGTGGGTGCACCGTGCACGCAATCAGATGCGGCTTAGAAGAAGGAGCGTGAGCATGAGGATGCAAAGATCTTGGACAGAGGAGGCACACACACATTACTTACAGCTCAAGGAGTCTAGCAAACTCAGAGACTTCATTCGGAATTGTTCCATTGAGGTAGTTGTAGCTAAGATCACTGCTTTGGAAAGTACAGAACACAAGGCATGCGCTGATTGGTAGAAAGGGTAGGGTACATGCATGAGTGCAAGCTGGCGGTGCAGAGAGATGCACAGGAGCATGTTTGAGTTTGATGGCCGCGTGGCATGTTGGAGGAGGAAGGCAGGCAGTCTTTTACAGCGGGTCGGCAAGAGCACTTGGAAACGTGGCTGGGATACGTTGCTCACATTGCAGGAAATAATCAGTGACTGACTGGCAGAGAGTGCATGTGAGTGAAGGAACCAATTTGTGGCCCACGCACAGATTTTCGAGGCGAAACAGTGAGTTAAGGGTGCTGAGCTTTCGCACTAGCACTTGCATACTGCCCTCGCCCTGGTCTCTGAGGTAGAGATGAGGGAGGAAAGCAGGTAGAGCGAGAAGGGGGGTGAAAAGAAAAGAGGGCGACATGTTGATGGGAAGGTGTAGTGCAGCAGAGGGGAAAGACGAAGAGCAAGCACAAGGTACGACACAACCATGATGTGCAGCAGGCATGTTCATTCAAGTGACAGAGACCAAAGAGTAGGTAAATAGCATTTGAAGGATGAAACAGAAAGTGTTACACAAGTTGAGGTGAGAATTAGGAGGAGAAAAGTGGGCAGCAAGTAGGCCAGGACGTGCATTTCCTCTCAGTGGGATTCATGATGTGCTGACATGTATAGGATGTTCACATGATGATGTGTTGACATGATGATGTGTTGACATGTACAGGATGTTGACATGGTGATGGAACTTACTGCACGTTATCATAGAAGAATTCGGGAGGAATCGTCCCACTGAAACGGTTGCCCCTCAACGACCTGGACTCACTCCATCATCATCATCATCATCATCATCATCCGCCCCTCACTCCTCCACGCACGTGCGAGCTCACGTGCGCACCCGTACACACCCCCACTCACCACACACAAACACGCACACTCACACGGACACTCAAACTCACACTCACACAACACACACACACACACACACACACACACACACACACACACACACACACACACACACACACACACACACACACACACACACACACACACACACACACACACACACACACACACACACACACACACACACACACACACACACACACACACACACACACACACACACACACACACACACACACACACACACACACACACACACACACACACACACACACACACACACACACACACACACACACACACACACACACACACACACACACACACACACACACACACACACACACACACACACACACACACACACACACACACACACACACACACACACATAGACGGATACGCGCACGCGCACGCACACACACACACACACACACACAGAAAAAACAAACAGACACTCACACACACCTACCCACACACACACACATAAACTCGAACAGACAGGGACAGATAAAGAAGACACAAACAGGCAATAACAAGCCAGAATGAATGTATGCAACAGTGGATAGGACGTTCAAGAGGGGCTCAGGAAGAACAACAACGGTAACGCATGATACAACGTTCAAGAGGGATTCCAATATAGCTTCATAAGCGTTTGACTTCAATATAGCCTCATAAAAAACATGTCACTCCAATAGAACAACACATCAAAGTTTCGAGCTCTATATAGGCAAGGATATTTGACTCCTAAATAGCCTTGGAAAGGACAAGGGAAAGAAAGAAAGGTAATGACATGACGGTACAGGGGTTTAAGAGGATATCTGAAGACGGTAGGTAGAGGACCTTCCAACCGATTATTAGCCAGGTTCCTGCACACGGACGAGTAAACAGAGAAGCAGCGAGGAGGAGAGAGGGGAGGTGGATGGGTATCAGCTGCATAGTCACTCACTGGACTGGTCCTCATTGCGATGCCAGGAAAGAGGTCATACAAGAGCACAAGTATAGTGACTGATTTGTTGGAATAACGAAGGTAGGTGTGTTGTGGGTAATTTCGCACCATGCACACAAAGGGAGGGAGGGAGGGAGGCTACACACCACGATCAACGTTCACAGTGGGGTGGATGAATTCCATTCCAACAAGCAAAAAATCAACAATGCCAGCTGGGTGGGAAACGTATGAGGAGGAGTGGCTTACAGGTTGGTGAGGTAGAATAGTGAAGTGAATGACGTTGGAAGACTTCCCTCCAGCTGGTTGCCCATCAGATTGCTATATTATGGAACAAAGGCAAGAACAATGGATAGATGGATGGGTTGATGTGGATATAGACGAAGGTTAGACGAGGTCAGGGGTTGATTTGAGAGCATGAAGTGACTATAAAGGAAGACCTTGTGGTCACTGTGCAAATTGATTGGCAGCGGTAGACTAGGGATATGCGTGGGGTTAAGCCGAGCTGTGTCAGGACGAGCAGAGCTCCGAGTCGTTTGAGAAGAGCCAAGCCAGCCTTGAATCCCACTCGTGACTTGAATACGTGCGAGGTAGGAACAGGCCCGAGCGGCTCGTTTCTTTCAAGCTAGAGTTCTGCGCGGATCTGGCATCTCGCCTTGCTAGCGAATCCGCGTTGATTTGATGGTTTTTTTTTCGCTAAACCGGACGTTGATGGGCTTGCCAATGAGCAAAGCGATGAGATTCCCCGTGAGATGAGATGCCTCGTGCAACTCATTGCTTGCTGCGAATAAAGCTACCACTATCACCACTACACTCCCTTTCGTATAACTGCTCCACAGTCCACCTGCCTGCCTTTGACAAGTCCTGTAGCAAACGTGGCGAGTGAGCTGTGGGGTGGGGAGAGCATTCAGAGTGCGGACATGGAAGGAAGGGGGTGGGAGGGGATCATGGGAGGTGACTCACAGTGAATTCAGTTGTGTAGGCATGTCTGGAATGGAGCCCGACAGCCGATTGTAACTCAGATCACTGTGCACATTCCAGGACAGGACAATCATAACATCCCAGGACAATCATAACATCCCAGGACAATCATAACATCCCAGGACAATCATAACATCCCAGGACAATCATAACATCCCAGGACAATCATAACATCCCAGGACAATCATAACATCCCAGGACAATCATAACATCCCAGGACAATCATAACATCCCAGGACAATCATAACATCCCAGGACAATTGAATAACATCCCAGGACAATTGAATAACATCCCAGGACAATTGAATAACATCCCAGGACAATTGAATAACATCCCAGGACAATTGAATAACATCCCAGGACAATTGAATAACATCCCAGGACAATTGAATAACATCCCAGGACAATTGAATAACATCCCAGGACAATTGAATAACATCCCAGGACAATTGAATAACATCCCAGGACGATTGAATAACATCCCAGGACGATTGAATAACATCCCATGACAATTGCATGCCATGACAGCAGCAGCAGCAGCAGCAGCAGCAGCAGCAGCAGCAGCAGCACCACCACCACCACCACAACACACCATGGGCATTTCCATTTGGTTTGAGGGAGCACAACACAGAGCTGTGCTGTACTTGGCATGTGTATGACAGAGACAGTGTGCAAGCATGTTCACATCACACGTGGAGGCACCTACATGCAAGAACAAAGAGCACAGCACATCGTAGCCTTCTCACAGGTTATAGATATAGG